TTGTTTCTGTGACTGTCGCCGCCTGCGGAACGCGCGCAGCTTTTGAGTCGAAAGGATCGTCTGCTAAAAAGGCCTACTCTCGGCGCCGTATGATCGTTCGTTGGCGGCGTTTGTTGCGCCATCTCTGGCGGCGTTTGTTGCGCCATCTCTTGTCTCCCTTGCGAAACGGCGCCGTGTTGTTTGCAGACCGGAGGCGTCGCTACGTTTCCCTAGGCGCCAAGCCTTCTTCTTTTTTTACTTTTTCCTCAGGTAAATTCCAGGAAAGTGTCGGCTTTGAAAAGGGAGATGAAATATAATTCTTTGACCCTGCTCCAGACTGACAAGAGTGGCTTGTTTGCAGTGCTCTCGGATGGTATTTTTAATGAGAAAGCTTTGGTGGCTGTTTCCGAGTTATTTGTAAAGAGTGATGAAAATGTTGCGGTTTTAAAACGGGATGTGTGTAAGATTTCGGCACTGGAGGAGATCACGGCTACTCTAAACAGAGTGAGGGGCGCTTCACGCTCTTCTTTTGGTTTAAAGTTTTTAGTAAAAGATCATAAAATAGATTTTCCCTTCCGTGTGGTAATTAACGAAAATGGTTCTTGGCAAAAGTCGCTTGCGGTTTTCCTTCAGGGATGTTTGGGCCATGTCAATCTGGAGGGCAGTATTGCCCTTAGGAACTCGGAAGAACTAATCGAAGGGATTTCTCCCCTGCATCGCAGCTCGTGCACGTTGATGCCCCTGGACATCAAAGATTTGTATTATTCTTTAGATTGCGTGTTGTTGCTGGAAAGGGTTAGGGGGCTTTTAGAAAACAATTTAGTCTCTTTTCAAGCCAAAGCGGGTATTTCTGTAGATGCGGTACTGGAGCTTCTGACGTGCTATCTGAAGGCAACTGTGCTTACCTTTAATGGTGATAGTTATATACAGCGGAAAGGTGTGTGCATCGGTTCGGCGGTGGCTCCCGTGTTGACTGAGCTTTATCTTAACACTCTTGACAACAAAATAACAGATTTTGTTGGCTCTTTGGGTGGAGAAAGGTTTTTGGTTCGGAGGTTTGTTGATGATATCTTGGTTTGTGCTCCGAATCAGCTTTCTGCTACTCAGATCCATGATTTTATTTTGACCGCTGCACCGGAATTAAAATTCACCTCCGAATCAGTGAAAGATGGGAAGTTACAGTTTTTGGACTTGCAACTATATAATAAAAGGGGGCTTTGCTTGTCTTATGGTAGAGAAACCGTAAAGAAGTTTCTTTCTAGATGCAGCGCTCATTCTAAACTGGTTAAAGGGGGGGGTGGTGAGATTATTAATTGGCAGTGCACTGAAGAAATCTTGTTTTCATTCGACGTCCAAATCAAACGTTTACTCACGGTGGGTTATAGTTTAGATTTTATCATTTCGAGTGCACGTAGACTCTTTGTACGCGCGTCGGTGACCGCTGAGAGGGTTCAAGGTAGAACCTTTGCTGTGATTCCGTATATTCATGGTTTTTCTCATAGTCTAAAAGCCTTGGGTGCGAAAATATAACGTTAATGTGGTTTTTAGGACGTACTTCCGTTTAGACAGGCTTACTCCGTTTGCCTTCAGACTTGAGGGATGTTGCGGGAAAAAACACAGAGATCCCTCAGTTTCCTGTGTCGCAGAGGTGGTCTACAAGATCCCCTTTGACTGCGGATTGTGTTATGTTGGTAAGACGGGGCGTTGTTTGAATAACCGACTTGCGGAACATAAATGGTGTGTAAAGAATTTGGCGCATAATTCTGAATTGGTTAATCATGTTTGTTCTTGTAATTCTCGTTCCCCTCTTTGGGATGAAACTTCCTTTCTGTGTAACGAAAAAGAATTGTTTAGAAGGCTAATTAAGGAGACTTTGTGCATTCGCGAGCGGGGGAATTGTGTGAGCCAGCCGCCCATGGTCATCAGTGATCAGATGAAAGAGTTTTTGTTTGTATGAGGGGAGCTTTGTAAACCTTGAGAAGGGGGGGGGGGAGGGAACCGGGAAGCGTTTGCTTGAAGTAGGAAATGGGGACTGGGCTTTAGCGGTTTGGAGGTCACCATGTGTGGTGACCATGGGGTTGTTGCTGTTCGGGTGGTCGGCTCCCTTTCCGAACGTTTTTCGAGCCGGGGAGTGGCTCAGGCTGTCTGGGGTGAACGCGTTCGCATTCTTGTTTTTTTCTTTTGGGGTATTTTTGCCCTTTCTCTTTTCCTTTTATCTGAAAGTCTATTTATTGGTATGCTCATATCAATAAAAGTCAGCTGCGTTTGAGATTTTGTTGTGTTCGTCCGTTTTTTTATTGTTCCCCATCTCAGGGTTTACAAGATGTCGATTAATTACCAGCAGGGATGGGCAAAATACATGCAAATATGTATCGATATACAAATACAAAATACTTCGTCAAAAATGTATTTAATTGCAAACTTAATTACATTTCTAAATAATCATTGAAGTACAAGATACAAATACAAGGAAATGTATTTGGTCGCCTCGAAATACTTATTCCAATACATTCCTCAAAATTTGTCTCAGTGACTTCATGGCTCCTGCAACGGGTTTCTGGGTACCTCATTTTAATTTTGCATCGCAAACTCGGAAGTTAGTGTGCGAGGCTCTAGTTACGTAATAGAAATATAATCACAAAAAAAATGTAATCCGCTTGGACGTAATAGGTGAAAAAAACTACAAAGCTTCAAGCAGCTTTTCTTGTCGATCACATTTTCGTATAGACCAACAAAGGACCAAGACACGCAGCACTAGCTACAAAATTTTTTTTATTGTTGCAACTCGCACCAGTTACGAAAATCTGGACAACCCGCGCATTTAGAATGTTCCAGGCAAAAATATGAATAGAATTAAGGTTGGAAAGCATGACAAGTTGTCACAGGGACTTATTTAGCCAGTCTGCCTGTGAACGTCGATTTCGTCACTATTCTTGCCCTGGACTAGCACCGTAATCACAAAGTCACTATACGCTTGTGCTTGATTGAGAGACAGTGCATTCAGTGCAGAAGGTAGTTTTCTTTCTGCTCAGGACAGTGACAATAAATTTTAGGGATGTATTTTCTCCCACAAAATTGTATTTAATTACAATTGTAATTGAAATACCCATGTTTTAGTATTTAAATACACACGTCAAATACATTGCCCAATTTGTAGTTAAATACAAATGCAAAATACACAAAGTATTTAAATACGTATTTCAAATACTTGTATTTGAAATACTGCCCATCACTGATTACCAGCTCGCCTGCACTCTTTCACTGCTTAGAATAACAATATTTAGTGAAATAAGACGCTAAAAGAAGTTTTAGTCTTTATCTCTTAATTGCACATTTTTTAAAGCGCAGCTATTAGGCGCCCGTTTCCGGCTTGAGCGGCGTCGCCGTCGCCGTCGGCGTAACCGCGCGGTGCATTATGGGTAAATTTCCCCGCTAAATTTAGCGAAAAACTTCCCCGCTAAATCTAGCGGAAACATTTCCGCGCTAAATCTAGCGGGAAAGTTTCCCCACTAAACCTAGCGGAAATATTTCGCCGCTAAATCTATCGGAAAAGTTTCCCCGCTAAATCTAGCGGAAAAATTTTCCCGCTAAATCTTGAGGCAAAATTGCTCTGGGGGGTCACGTGACCTGAGGGGTGACGTGACCTCCAGGTCACGTTAAACCCCTTGAGGCCACGTGACACTCAGGTCACGTGACCGCCCTCCCCGAGGTCACGTGGGGGGTCACGTGACTTCGGGGGGTCACGTGACTTCGGGGGGTCACGTGACCCCCCGCGTGGACCCCCTCCTCTGAGGTCACGTGACCCCACCAAGGTCACGTGACCCCCCCGACGTCACGTGACCCCCCAAGAACACGTGACCCTCAGTACGCTTCCCTCCTCCTCCTCAAGAGCTGCACTCTAATTTGGCGTTATAGGGAGTTGCAAACGGCTTTCACTTTTTTTATCAACGTATAATAGACCCTTTCACAAATTCATTGTCATCTAGTGTCTGAAATATCAGTCCGAATTGTTGTATGCTCATGGCGGATAAAATCTCTTAACTATTCTTCAACGGTAGATGTACGAAAGTTAAGATGTTTTTCCATGAGCAGTTATCTCTCTATTCGCTTCGGTTTCGATGGTGTCAAGAAACTACAACTGCACAGGGCACGTAGTGTTAAGTAAACCTATCCAAAAAATTAACATTTTATCATGCGTCACGAGCTGTCTGGGGCGTGCCGAACCCGATCATTCCAAGGACTTACATGACAGCAACAAATGCGTAGAGCACAAAAACTTAACAAATCTCGTCTCGACGTCATCAAACAAGAATACAGCGAAGTAAGGTCTGGATGCTCAGGCTCCGCATCGGTTTCTGTCTTCAAATTATTTCTTCACCAGCCATCAAAAAGCCGCCATTAGCATGTACAGATCATACACACTTAAGGCCGGTTCCCACATGCAGCGAAGCGCTGATGTAGCGCTCCTCACGTGCCGTCAGTTACTTATCGTCTGCCATGAGCAACAGTTTTGACGGTGCGATACAAAGCTGGTGAACGCTCCCATCAGCACGCGCTTAGCGCGAGGTGATCGCTATGCTTGTAGCGATCCGCTGCATGTGTGAACAGGCCTTTAGGTGATGATAGCTACCCAAGCGACTAGACTGAATTTCCGAAAGAGTCTATTCAGAAGGAAATGGCGGACTGTATAATAGGAAGGCTATTGGGGGATGCACATGAGAGCTTAAGAAATGATCTGCGTAGGATTTGCCCTCTTGTCATGTTTTTTTTTTTTTTTTTTTTTTTTTTTTTTTTGTGGAGACGGCGTTGGAGATGGGGTAAATAAAGCGTGTACGAAATAAACTTTGCAACTCAGTTTGAGACGTCGCCTCCTCTTTTCCTACCGTCTGTTGTGTTCTGTTTTCTGCCCCAGTCTCAGGTTTGCAATCATGTTCAACTTACACCAGCTCGCTTGCACCCTAACTATTTTTTCGATATTTTAAGCTGTCTTTCAAGCTTGTTGTCATAATTTTATGTTTCAGGAGCAAATACCATATCGATGATGCCAAATATAACACTAGGCGTACGTTTTGTATGTGATTCTTCATTGGTGAAGGCACGCCAAGAAAAAAATCACACTACACCTCTTCGGGAATATATAAGTATATTTCTTAATACGGTAAGTGTCGACCGTGTGCGTGTTCCGATGTTCTTGTTCAATTTTGAGCGAATGCTACGCACTCTTTTGCCTGGGGCTTGATTGATTTGTAACTAACAAAGCATACCGCATGCTTCTGTAATACACTGGGTGTCCCGAGGAACGGCCAGGCTCTTTAAATCGACCGCGAAATTCGGTTTCTTAACCTATCACGCTACGACTTTGGGCAGCCTTGCCCACGGATGGTGCATTGGTTTTGTCAAATTTGCAAAGAGCGAACTTACCTGAGGAAAATGCAAAGAAAGAAAAAGGCTTAGCACGTATGGAAACGCCGCGAAGCCACCGGTCTTCAAACAATACGGCGCCGTTTCGCACGGGAGAAAAGAGATGGCGCTAGCGGTCGCGACGCCAACTGCCGCTACCGAACAAGCATACGGCGCCGAGAGCCAGCGCCTTTAGCATACGATCTTTTCAACTCAAAAGTGGCGCGCGTTCCGCAGGCGGCGACATTCGCAGAACCAAAGACAGACGCGGTAACAAGAAGGAACTGCAAAGCAGACGACATCAGTACTCTGAAACAAAACAAAAAAGCATAAATATACCGACAAACCATTTTTACTCGATTATGCGTCATTCAATACGTTTTATTATTAAGGATGATAAAATAATGCATTGGCAACTGATATCAGAAAAACTCGCGCCGCTTTTGAGTTAAATAGATTGGATGCAAAAAACGTCGGCTCTCGGCGCCGTATGCTCGTTCGTTGGCGGCAGTTGGCGTCGCGACCGCTTGCGCCATCTCTTGTCTCCCCTGCGAAACGGCGCCATATTTTTGAAGACCGCTGGTTTCGCAGCGTTTCCATAGGAATCAAGCATTTTTCTTTCTTTATATTTTACTCAGTTAAGTTCGCTCTTGGCAGATTTTACAAAAAAACTGCACCATTTTTGGGCAACGCTGCACAAAGTCGTAGAGCGATAAGCAAGAAACCGAATTCTGCGGTCGATTTAAAGAGCCTGGCCGCTCCTTGGGACACCCAGTATTACAGCTACTTAACTTCTAACGCGTACGGGAGTAATGCGTCCAACGAGTTTAATGTGATAGATTTGCCTGTTTTATGTAAAAATTGACGTATCTTAAGCAATCCAGATAAAACCTTCTACTTAAGCCCCGCTAAATTTAGCGTGAAAATTCGCGCCTTTAATCTAAACACCAAAACCGTTTCCCGCTAAATCTAGTGGGGAAATTGTCGTCACTTTACCTATACAACCCAGTTTCCCGTTCAGCTGAGGGGGAAAGTGTACGTCACGTGACACACCAAATTCCTTTCCCCATTCCTCGCCTTCCCATTTCATGTATCTCCCCGTCTCTCCCCTCCTAGGTTATCCTTTCCATCTGCCTTCCTTCCCCTCACTCCCCCTCCGTCTTTCTCCCCATCTCTCCCCCATTTCCTTCGGTACCGTGCAAAGATGTAACATCAAAGTCAGATTCGATTTTGTCCAGTGTCAATCAGGCAGCTACGACTTCAATCTACGCTCGATCCGAGGCGCCCAATTCCAATTCGCGCCTGATCAAGTCAACCGTTTCGATTGTTCCGGTCGATACCAAAATGATCCCGGCGAATCCAGTGTTGCCTGACGAAGACGGAATTATTATTTTTTCAGCTTCCGACATAAAGATTCGTAAGGCGAAGGCGATTTACGATTCCACGAGGTTCGAGTTTTTATCTACATTAGCGCCCAATACGAATCGGAACGCGTATTCCTACATAATTAATTTGCTCTGCTATGCCCGTCCGGTTCCGGTCGGCTCCTCGTCAATGGCTGCCGTACGCCTTCCAATGCTCTGGCGGCCGATTGCGCCTATTACTGGATGCTTAGAAAGCAATTTATACGACTTTGATACTGCGAAACACTTTCATGTACGCAAGTTGGGCAAGCTTTCAGCGCCTGCGGGTATTATTTCACTAGGCGCCGTCTTCGTATACATGTAAAATCACTTTGTAGTAACCCACACTTAAAGAGAAGGACGAAGAATCGCACGCGGTGTCATTTTGACCGCCAATCGATTGGTACGTTTTAATATCGATCCCTTGTTAAGTCTCTTGTAAGTAGCAATATTAAACCGATTCTTATTTACGCGATACATTTTTGGCTGGCGCAGTGCTGGAAACAGGTGGGCTACTCCTCCAGGCTTGGTTCTGTGGCTGACATCAGTAAAAGAATCCCGAGGGTGCGGTGATATCCGTGGTGGCTTTTGGGGATGATAGGAAAACGTGGACGGCATAGCCGTGCACTTAAGCTTCGTAACGCCAAACTTTTTAAGGATAGCTGTGTCAAATTGTTCATCTGTCAACGAAAACTGTGCAGCGTTGATGCGTTGGACCATTTGTCCGAGAGCATTAAAAAGGAAAGAAATCGGTAACACGCGAGCAGTACCAAAACATATGAGGTCTCTCTGCGACTTGAATTCAAAATTCACAAAGAAATTGCAAATCCAGTCGGCGTTCTTGCGGTTCGACGATGATGCACTACAACTTAAAGGCATTTGAAAATTATATTGACATCAGGGCTCTAAAACAACGAGGCTATATTAGGGACTTTATAGTGCGAAATTGAGAAACTTCAACCAGTTGGCGTCGACCGCCAAAGAGGGAAGTCAGCGCACAGCTCCCGATTTCCGGCCGGCGAGTTCCGTTAGAAAAACTACAAAGACACTTAAGACTGCTGATGTGGAAGAATGCGAAAGCATTCGTGCACGTAGCGTATTCCTGCAAGCTGCGCGCCGCGCTGAGCCCGGCCAAGCGACACCTGCGTAAGCTGCCCGGGTGAGCTCTGCGGCCGGCCGCCATGGCTGCTCTGCAAAGTCCTGCCACCCTCTCCCTCTGACAGTCGGCCGGGCCGCCCCGCCACGGAGAAGGCTTCTGTGTGGTGTGGCGTTCCTTGGAATTATGCCGCGCGCCAGCCAATTGGAGTTTCCCATCAATTCGCTGCTACAGGCTTCGCTCCATGGGACAGGGGAATTTAGGGGCCGTTTGACGTGGCTTCAAAAGCTGATTACGCCGGTTCACTTCATGGAACAGTTAATGCTTTCACATTAAAAACAGAAAAAGAATTACGCTACAGCTCGATGCTTTCAGGCTTTTCTGGTGCATTGCACCAAATTGGGAAAATAACTCCCCTCGCACAGCCTGACCGAGGTAGTAGGTTTCAAGATTTTCCTTTCAATTTTGTGCTGCCAAATTTTAACCCTCGCAACAGCGTGGTTACCAAGGGACACGTAAAATATTGCCTTGCCTTGCCCGACCCCGTTCAGCAGCCAACTGGACAACACCCCGTTAGGTCATTGTTGAATCACGCCGTGGACCGAATTCACCGTACCGTGTGGGCATGTTTTTCTAGTCAATATCTAACGACAACGTGTATCTCGGTAGTAGCACAAAAAATACTCAGGAACAAAATGGCCGACGGAAACGGAAACCTGAAGCAAAACGCAGGCGCAGGCCGATGGGAGAGCACGTCGGTGTTGCCGCACTGGCGGCTAACCTTAGAAAAAAAAAAAAAAAGATTGAATTTGCCAGTCTAGGCTCTCAACGTAGGTGAAGGATGCTCACAAACACCGCCAGAACTAATATTACGGGACCATAGTACGATAAACCGGTAACGTGGTGTGCTACTAATCCACACGTGGCAACAAGACCTAAAAAAAAAACGCGACCTGCGTCCGCTCGGCACCGGACCAACCGCTCGATGGTCCTCGTTCGGTCCAGTGCAATGGGCTTCTTCCGCCAGGATGTGAAGAAGCTTAGCAACTACTTGGCACTGAACACGTCTTCTCTACGGTCTGTGTCTGTTCTGTGGTTGGATGATTCTCATGGATCTGCTTTCGCAGCTCCTGTACTAGCCCTGAACGGAAGTTGTGAAGGGCGACGGATAGTCAACAAGTGCTCCAGCGTAGACTCTAAAGATTAATTTTGACAAAAAAGTTGGGTTAAATGTTGCATTATTGTTTATGTAACCAATGTAAGAACACTAAGTGCACTATGAACACTTAATTGCTGTTTTAATGAATGCCCGTAAAACTCTGCTTAATCGCTTTCGTCCAGAAAGATTTGCACCGTTAACTTTGCAGTCGCTCGGTTTCTTTGAGTGCACTTCGGAATTGTCGGTAAAGTTATATTAAAGTTTGTTCTCAATGTTTATGATAAGTGGAGAAACGTATTGGTCGGGATACAATCGCTCGTGCGTCCGGAGACTGCTCGGTACTGAGCATAGCATAAGTACCTCTAGTGACTTGAAAATATCCTGTTTGGCATCAAATAAATTGTTAGGACTTCCGGGATTGACTCTTAGTTATTTGCGACCAGTAAAAAATGATTGCCCATAAGTGCATGTTGGGCCGCGCTGTAGTGCGTAATGCAAATATTGTCTGCGGGTACCGAGCGAGTTAAATGCGAAGGGTTTGAAGCTTCTGTAGGGCTGTTATATTTTTAGTGGCTGTAGCAATTTACTTTTGGTCCACCGCTTGTAGTATGGACGTAAGAAATGAAATTTTAATCCTGTTCATGAAAGTGGAATGAACCTGGCACGCTTGTCATGGCTCGTTTGTTCGTTATTTCCGAACATTTTTGAGCTTACTCGAATAGAGCAGTGAGCACGGTTAGTTCACTTGCCTCGAGATGTTGTGACCGCTTGGCATTTTCTGCACTGTTTTGATAGATGGCGGTCAACGCTCACCACAAAACCAATCGTGACATAAAATGCATCGCGTTCAACGCAGCGGCACAGCGGTGACTCGCTTAGTATTCATGCTACGTACTACAGGGTTCAAATTAAATGCGAACAGCGGAGCGCGTGGCTGTAGACAAATGCGACGCCTGCTGGAGCCCTCTGGAAACAGATAAAACTGCCGGGTGGAGAGTAGGGCGAGGCGAGGGTTTGCGTCCTAGAGTAAATGTGCATTAAACACTTTGATATAGAAGCTCGGAATTTTCTTATTCAGAATTTCAGCAGCAGCAGAATTT